AAATTGTGTACTAGAATCTTGTTGTCTATTTCTGAGCTTTTTTTTTTTTCATCCAGTACACCTCCCTCTCTCTCTCTCTCTCTCTCTCTCTCTCTCTCTCTCTCTCTCTCTCTCTTTCTCTCTCTCTCTCTTGGCGGGAACATCTTTGCAGGCCCTGAACCTCAACCTACAATTGTCTCTACATTCGGGCATTCAACCCTCGGTATCTACCGGAAGGAGAGAGAGAGAGCGAGACAAAAACACAAAGAGAGAGAGAAATCAAAAGTGTAGAAGTGGTGTGATAATCTTACACAATTGGAATGACCCGCACACTTGTGGCCTGAGGAATACGGACTTTTCTGACAAAAAAGCTTTCTTTTTCGCCTCATTGCTGAGATCTCCTAGTCTGCATCTATTTTGCTGCAAATGCTAAGTCCCGAAGTCCAAATTCGGATGGAGGTCACAGTCAACTAGACGGCTAGTTTTACAACAGATTTCGTCCTGATCCATCATTACAGTACTTGCATCCTTGTTGTTATCCCCTCCTCCCCTCTACCCCTTATTCCCTGTCCAAACCTGGCGCCGCCCTGGTGCTTGGTCTAACGACCCCTGTGCCTACAGCGGCACACTTAAACCACCAGTACCTCGCCCAGCTAAAAAAAAACCGACGCGGCCGTAAACGCGCCGCGACTTTCGGGGTTCGGCATAGGCTGGGTACTGGGATGGCAGAGGGAGTGAGTGGACCCAACGAAAATGAAGAGGACGCAGGGATGCAATCTGCACGGATTCATCACGTGTGTTTCCACATGCGCGGGTGCAATGAAGGAAGAAAAAGAAAACTGCAAAGAATAGCGAATTCTGGTCTCCACACACTTTCTGAATGTATGTTCCCGCACTTGTGGCCTGCAGCGTTTTCCTGCTTTTGTTTTTTTGTCTCGCAAAAAAAAAAAACAAAGGAACAATCTTCGTTGTATCTTTTTTTCTTTTTTTTTTGACAAAATAAACAGTACGTCTTTCCTGAAAAATGGGCATATACCTGATGTCACGTGGACACACATTACAGACACTGGTTATCCCACGAATTGGTCTACAAGTCCTCGGTGCCAGGAAAAGACTTAACGGTGTTAGTGGGGTGATCAATACATTACCTTGGCGATGGGTATCAGGGAAGAAGGCCAGAAACCCAAAGCTTGTTCAAGAGCCTGCCCTGGCAAGTCTCCCCCATATGTCTGAGAACTGTCATGAAATGTGGATATCAACGTGGTTCGTACATTCCCGATGCTTCTACCGAAATCTCTTCGCTGTATCTTCGGCCACTCCGCGTTCGAAACGGGATCGTTGGAGTGTCTGCCACAAAAGTAACGTCTGGGGCACTCCACTATTACAACTTTCAGAATGTATCTACCTGCATCTGTGGCCCGCTACACATGAATCTGGCGCAATTACGCAGTGCACTTGTTTTTTCCTTTTTGTTTTCTTACAACTAAAAAAAAAA